TCGGAAAGTCAATTTTGCGCGCCAAAAAATTCACGTTAAAGCACGAAATGCACTTTTTCTCAATGGGCCATTTTCATAATAGGTTCGCATAATTTTAACACGTTGTTCGGTCGTATATTGCTCCATGACTAATTTTGTTTATGGTTCTAGGGTAGAAATCTGACGTTACCGTTGAAAAATACAGCGGCAGCGGCGTATCAAAAATATTTTAGATTGTAATGTGGAAACTCAATTTGAATCACCCTTTATTTTATATTATTGTAATAATCTCGTGTGTTTATAGCATAAGAGGTGTTTTATTTTATTTGCTTCCAGTATTCCTTTTTTGTAGCATCATATATTTCTGTCCGCTTAATGAATTCCTACATATGTCTCCATTTGCATTCAGTGTAGGCCTGAACCTGATACAACCTAAAATGCTGATCCAAGGAATATGTCTCGCTTCATTTTGAAAAAATTATTTTTTTTAGGAATTTCAAATTCATCCACCTTTCCGTGTTCAATTCGTCTTGGTGTTTACCTGCTTGTTGTGGTTGCATCAAATTTAAATCGTTTTAGATCCTTTAAAACAGTATCCCAATCTTGTGTTTTATTTTTTTTAGGCTAAAAAGAAATAAAAATAAAATTTTGCTTTAAGAATTAAATGTTCTCAAACTTACAGTTATCTTTGAAATATAATGTAAAATAGTAATTCGATTAAAAATACCTTATCTTTTGAAAGATATTCTCCTTTTGCCTAAGCTCATCAGCTGCCATTACTATTCTCTCTCTGAGATGGTTAATGTCGTTTATTTCTGCAGCATAAACCATATCTTTCATAGCACTTCAGAAAAAAACTCCAATGGATTAAGGTCAGGAGATCGTGGTGGCCATTGAATAGGTGCGTCTTGTCCTCGACCAATCCAACGATTGGGAAATAGATGGGTATTTAAATACTGCCGGACGTTTCTACCATAATGGGATGAAGCAATGACAAAATGCATTCACATACCGTCACGTAGGATAACAGGTAAATCATGTAAAACATCTCGGAATTCATTTTGCAGAAAATTTAAAAATGATGCTGAATTTCAATTATTTGGTATGAAAAGGGGACCCAACAGAAAATTATCCACTATTCCCGCCCANATCTGATACAACCTAAAATGCTGATCCAAGGAATATGTCTCGCTTCATTTTGAGAAAATTATTTTTTTTAGGAATTTCAAATTCATCCACCTTTCCGTGTTCAATTCGTCTTGGTGTTTACCTGCTTGTTGTGGTTGCATCAAATTTAAATCGTTTTAGATCCTTTAAAACAGTATCCCAATCTTGTGTTTTATTTTTTTTAGGCTAAAAAGAAATAAAAATAAAATTTTGCTTTAAGAATTAAATGTTCTCAAACTTACAGTTATCTTTGAAATATAATGTAAAATAGTAATTCGATTAAAAATACCTTATCTTTTGAAAGATATTCTCCTTTTGCCTAAGCTCATCAGCTGCCATTACTATTCTCTCTCTGAGATGGTTAATGTCGTTTATTTCTGCAGCATAAACCATATCTTTCATAGCACTTCAGAAAAAAACTCCAATGGATTAAGGTCAGGAGATCGTGGTGGCCATTGAATAGGTGCGTCTTGTCCTCGACCAATCCAACAATTGGGAAATAGATGGGTATTTAAATACTGCCGGACGTTTCTACCATAATGGGATTAAGCACCGACACAATGCATTCACATACCGTCACGTAGGATAACAGGTAAATCATGTAAAACATCTCGGAATTCATTTTGCAGAAAATTTAAAAATGATGCTGAATTTCAATTATTTGGTATGAAAAGGGGACCCAACAGAAAATTATCCACTATTCCCGCCCAGACATTAACCCTGAATGTAAATTGATGGTGTGCTACATTGGTTGCATGAAGATTTAAATCCGCCCATACATGGCTGTTATGCATGTTTGTCAATCCATTTCTTGTAAAGCTTGCCTCATCCGAGAATAGAATTTTTCTTACGAAGTCCCTATCTGCATCATGCTGTGTTAACAACCAACGACTAAATTGCATTTTTTCAAAACCAGCAAAACATAAAACGGTATTTTTGTTACTTTTTTGTACTGTCAAAATGTTTCAAGAAAACATTTTCTTACAATGTGGTAATACTTTTTCGTAAAAGTAATTGATGATGAGTTAAAATGATCGTTAGTGCAGAACTTCCCCAACATTAAATGCACATCTGCCATATTTGCAAAAGTCAAATTAACTACTGTCACCCTATTAGCCATACTGTCTTAAATTAAAAATTTAATAACCACTTACTACTTCTCGATTTGCGGAATCAAAGAATTAATAGTAACTAATGTCATTATGTCGACAAAATGGACATTTGTTTTCAGAGCTCACTATTTTTTCGTGACATCCGTCGGGCGCTAAGACATTTGTAACCCATCAATACATGTCGTTTTTCTCCAAAACGGAACGTTTAAATAAAAATTTACAAAAGAGATATCAGAAGAAAATTCTACGTTTGATATTTCAAGAAAAAGCTGCATAGACGTACTTAGAAATAATTGGAGGGGATAAAGGTTACTCCATCCCTCAGTTATCTCCATTGGCCCTTCGATTTTTTTCACCAAAATTACATAAGTATACCGGAATAAGATAAAAGTACGTGCAAACTTTCTGTATCTTACAAAACAATGGGATTATTAACAAAAATAATATTTTAAAATGTAATGTAAAAATTAATTTTTGTATTATTATTTTATTATTTGTATACTAATAAATATTTGAGTCGAACCTGTGCTTTCCATTTCTTGTGCCACTACGTCCCACGTTCTTTGAACTTTGTCTCTGTTGCTGTACTCCTTGAGGTGGAAATCATATAGACACGGGTGCTTTTTCACTGCTTCTGCCAACTTCGATTGAAACGAAATCGTTGCCATTTTTCACTGAAATTCCACTCAAAACAGGCAAATTATATATAAAAAAACGTGACATGAAGATGAATTTTACCTCTTGAAACGTGAAACTGAAGTCACATCTGCTTTCTGGATTTAGGTCTAGGAAAATATCTTATCGTGGCCAGATGCTTATTGAGCGGCGTGATAGTTATCCCGTGAATCTGATGCCCGAGGTATTCCAAGCGGTCTGTAGCTGTTACACATTTTTCAGGAGAAACTTTTAATTTGTGTTGCCTCATACATTCGAGGACTAAACGTAAATGACGTGTATGTTCGTCAAGAGATTTACTATATATAATAATATCATCCAGGTATACCTGGGTAAAATGGAGTAAGTAAAATGCTAGGATCTCTCGGGTCATCACATTCTGGAAGCAGCTAGGTGCGTTCTTTTACCCGAATAATTGTTAAATAATAATAAATAGTTTTTTAAGGACATTTAAAATAATTCAATGAATTTTAAATCGAATTCTTTCAAATTGACAATATAGGGGTTTTCGATGTCGCTGAACAAGAATATGAGAGTTTTTGACAAGGAGTTATACATGGTATCAATACCTCTATGTACTGTATTTACTTTGTGTTGTTTCATTATTAATCTAATTTGAGACTCTAATTTTTCTACGTCTTGAGTTTTTAATGGTTGAAATTCTGAATTTAATTGTATTATTAAAGAATTTGGGTATCAGTCGTTCGAAACATTGTCTTGCTTTTTGATCATAAAAAGATAGACAATTTATTTCTTTTGGTTTTAAAAAGGTTCGTAATAATTTTGCTTTACTTTCGTCAGAAAGTTGGGGATTAAATAATATAAAGATAGAATTTTTATCGAATGGTCTAGTGTGTCTGTGCTAATAAGGTTGGACAAGGTTTTGATTTAGTGCAGTGGATATTTGATGTTTAAAATGATTTATAGGTTGCTCGGTTATGGGTAATTCGGCTACTGGGTTTTCTATTGAAGTGTGTATAGTCTCGTTATCTTCGGGTTCAGGAATATGTAATACTGGAGGAGACGGCTCAGGAAGTTGTTCTAAAATGTCGTTAAGTAGTTCTTCGTCTATAGGTGTATTCGGTCTGCCTGTATTAACTAGCATGGAAAGTGTTTCATTATCTAAAATAGGCAAGTCTGAGGCTTGGGAAGTTGAGGGTTGAAGTTGGTGGATGTTATAATATCTGGCGGAAATCTGGACAACGCGTCTGCTACATTATTTTCTTTTCCTTTAATATATTTTACTTCATATTCGAATTCTTCTAATTTTAGTCTCCAACGGACTAATCTAGACTGGAGGGTCTTTTAGTGAGAAGAGCCACTGAATGTTTATGATCTGAAGGTTTATGATCTGTATTAGTTATAAATTTTCTACCGTATAAGTAAGGCCTAAAATATTTAGTTGCCCAAACGATTGCTAGTAATTCTTTCTCTATCGTAGAGTAATTTATTTCTGCCGGGTTTAATGTTCTACTCGCGTAGGAAATTGGATGACCGTTCTGAGATAGGACGGCTCCGATCGCGAAATTGGATGCGTCCGTAGTTAATACGAAAGTTTTTGAAAAATCCGGAAAGGTTAAAAGTGGTTCGTTTGACAAAATGTTTTTACATAAATAATTTACTGCTTCTAGAGATTCTGGTGAATGTTCAATTTTGTTTCCTTTTTTTAAACATCGAGTGAGCGGTTTCGTTATTTTTGCAAAGTTATTCATGAATTTACGATGAAAGCCTACTAGTCCGAGAAATGATTTAATGTCTTTAGCTGTTTTAGGAACGGGAAAATTTTGAATTGATTTTATTTTATCCGGGTTTGGTTTTATTATGGGTTATTGCACCAATTTTGTGTTAAACTACGTTTAACAAAACCTTAGTTTATAGATAAACCTCAATTAAATAGTTTTACATTGCACCGAATGGGAGTGGAAGTGGATTACTTAAACCGAATATTTTAGGGATTTTTCTTCTGCGACTAATTTCAAGTCATTAAAAAGCTGTCAAAAATGTCAAAAATCACCTCTTATATTTTGTTGTAATCTATCAAAAAATATTTCTTGTGTGCTTTTCAAGATGGATTATGCTGAATCTGATAATAAGAAAAAAAGGTCAGCAAATTTTACGAATAACGACAAAGCTTTGTTGATAAATATTGTTTCTAAGTTTAAACATATCGTCGAAAATAAAAAAACAGATGCGGTAACTTCCAGAGAGAAGACTGAAGCATGGAAAAATATTACTCAACAATATAATAGTTCTGGACCATCTTGTCCCAGAGATGTGGAATGTCTGAAAAGGTGTTATGATAATAGGAAGAAACTGTTAAGAAAGTCAGTTGCATTCGAAAGAAGAGAACTTTATAAAACTGGTGGTGGGTTGCCAAACATTAAAGAGAATAAGGAACCTGGCGATGATTTGTTATTATCAATAGTATGCGATAAGGTTATAAATGGTTTGGATAATCATTTTGATGGAGATGCTATAGAACTAGACTCTGATCACCCACAACCTATTTTATCATCTACAACTAAACAAGGAGTCTGTGATGATAACATTGAAATTATCTACGAGACTGATGAAGAAAATGTAACAAATTTAGTGCAAATGACTGAAAATAAGGAAAAACAGTCCGAGACGTTTCTGAAAGAGAAAAATGTAGGTTTCCTTGTTACATAAATAAATATACTTTTTTTGTCTTTTAGATAATAAGCACACATTATTTTACAGTTCAATGAACCTGATCAACAGTCAGGATTACAAAGAAATTGGAAACGTTACAAAATTGAAGATTTGAAATCATATGCAAGTGATCCACTTAGACCACGCGAGGTACCTTCTACTTCGGTAAAAATAAATTACATATTGACATACTTTTTTGTAACTGAATATTTGAAATAAATTTTACAAGTATGTATTTACCTTTTCCAGAATACTCCTCATCGATCATGTGATACTACATTATCCAGAAGAAGACCTAGAACTATTGTTAAATCTTTAACAACTTCAGAGCTGTCACAAAAATATAATAAATTATTAGATGAAAGAATAGAAATTGCTCAGTACCAGAAGCAACATTATCAAAATTTAATAAAGTTCGAAATGCAAGAACATGAATTACGAGTAGAATTACTTAAAACACAAATTGAAAAAGAAAAAAGTGGAAAAACATAGTTTAGTGTTTTTAGTTATTTAAGTAATACTCATAATATAATAAAGTTTTCTTATGTTTCAGTATGTTATTCCTTTTCAAATCACTGTTAATTTATCTGAAAATTAAGGATTTTTATAAGAGGGTAATAAAAAATGCATATTTTAGTACATACATTTTTATAATTATTATCTGTCATAAAACACAATTTACCTCATTATGATATTACTAAACTGCCATAATATATTACTTGTATTTAAGTATAAGTTCAAAATAGTGTACAGGTTGTTTGATCCTTAAATATTACCGAAATAATTGTTTACAATGTCATTCTGAACTCTTTGTGCATCTGCTTGTATGTTTAGTAAGGCTCCATGATTATTTATTCGACCCATGTCTATAAAGTATCTCTATTTAAGGCAGGGGGTTCTGGTTCATTCATTGATCTAGCTATATTATGTAGCACTGCAGTAGCTATAATGACCGTTAAAGCTGTTTCTGTTTTAATACGCATACCATATGCTAAACATGGAAAGCGACTTTTCCAAACTCCAATCGTTCTCTCCACTATATTCCTTGTTCTTATGAATGACTCGTTATATAGCTGTTGTGCTCTTGTTACAGGTTCATCCAGTGGTGTTAGTAAAAATGGTTGCAATGCATAACCACTATCCCCTAAAAATATAAGATGAGGTAATTAGTACTAATAATGCATTTATTGTCCAATAAAATTCTATTTATAGGACAGAAAAGTATAAGTGTAACTAGCACTCACAGTTTATTTAAGAGAACAGGTAGGTATGTAAACATAACAGGAGATTTCATATATAAATTAGTTTTTCACTGTGACAATAAAACATAGTATTACTATTATTGCTTTCTTTATATGAATATTTAGATTTAAAAATAAATAGGAGAAAATATTAGTACTTACCTAACAATATGCCGTTACCAAATTCTCTGTTTTCGAAGCGGGCACAAATTCTGCTATTCATGGAAATTGTGGCATCATGTGTTGATCCAGGCCATCTCGCAACGATATCAGTTATTTTCAGGTCAGAGTCGCATACTATTTGAGTAATTATAGAAAAATAGCCCTTTCGGTTTCTGAACACTTCTCCATCTTCACCACCTAAAAAAAAAAATCATATTTATGTTTAACGCGTACGTTTGTAATGATAAAAATAATAATAAAAATAGCTTATAGCTTCCTGCCTTATTACACTTAGGTTTTAAATACAAACCTGGATTCCTTATTTTTATATGAGTTCCATCTATTACGCCAATAGTTCTTGGAAATCTTGCAATATCATGGAATCTTATCTGCTCATCTACTATATCTTCTGGCATTTTTATGTAACGAGGATAAAGTCTTGCAATTGCTTGGGAAACCTTAACTACAATTCTAGATACTGTAGAAGTGTCCATTCCACCGAAGTCTGCTAACGAATTCAGATGTCCTCCAGTACTATAGAATCTAAGCGTCATTAATAATTGGTTGATTGGGGATATACTGTTATTTCTAGAATAATGTACGGTAGACAGTTGTTAAAATCGGATATTTGCCTTATAGTTTTAATAAAGTTACATATTGTAAGGATACTCCAATTCATGGTCTATTTGCTCAAGAACATTTACAACTGTTTCTTTGTATAACCGAAACTTTCGAAAGAAAGTGTAGTCATCCATCTCATAGAAATAATTTTTTCGCTGATTCACATGTCTGGGAAATCCATTTTCAATTATTTCTATTATTTCTAAATCATCGTCAAATATGTCTTCATATTCTACATTTAAATCAATAAAATCCATTTTAATCCACACACTTCAGAATCTAGCACTCAAAATATCAAATCCTACGATCTGGACCTTTTGTTAAGTTTGTTATGGACAATTATTCTGTTTTAATTATTTAGTTAACTAAACTTCCACTTAAACCTTCAAAGCTGGTGGTTTAAGTTAATCTGAGATTTAAAATAATTGACTCAAGTTTAAGAATCAGTGCAACAAAAATTTCTATTTTAATCTACGTTTAGTCTTAAACTTCCGTCAAATACCCTTGGTGCAACTACCCATTACTGAAGGGGTAATAACATGTCCTAAAAATGTGGTCTCTTTTTTTAAGAATTCAGATTTGTCTAACTGAACTTTCAAATTTCCTTTTCTTAAAGCTTCGAATACTAATTTTAAATTTTGTATGTGTTCCTGAAGGGACGTATTCAAAATTACAATATCGTCCATATAGACGAGGCAAATTTTGTTTTGTAGATCTTTGAGAACATTGTCCATGACTCTTTGGAAGGTAGCGGATGCGTTTTTAAATCCGAAGGGCATTCTAAGGTATTCGTAATGTCCGTTGTTAGTATTGAAGGCTGTCTTTGGGATTGATTCGGGAGACATCTCTAACTGGTGAAAACCAGATGCTAAATCTAAAGTTGTGAAATATAGTGATCGACCTAACTTGTCTAAAATATCGGTAATATTTGGGATGGGGTATCTATCACTAACAGTTTTTTCATTGACTTTGCGGTAATCTACCACGAGTCGCCATTTTTTGTTGCCATAAGCATATAATTTTTTGGATACAATCCATATGGGACTGGACCAAGGTGAATCTGAAGGTCTAATAGTATAATTTTGTAGCATTTGATTTGATTAATTTGTTTTTGGACTTCTTGTTTATGTACTTCGGGGTATCTGTATGTTTTTGCATGGACAGGGATTTCATCCTGTTTTTATCTGATGTTTGACTTAGTTGGAAAATGTAATGGAATCAGCGGGGAAATAGAAAATGTCGTGGTAGTCTTTACAAAGGGAAATTAAATGTCGTTTTTCTTATTTAGATAAATGATCCGTTCTTAGTAAATTAGGTATTTGCTCTTTTTTGTATTTTTTTGTGTTAGGTGAAATTTGGAAATTATATAGCTCGAAATTTTCAGTATTTTGGCAAGGAATGGATTTTTGAAAATAAAAAGATTTTGTTTCATTAGATAGATGGATTAAAAAATTCTACTGGAGCATATCCTTCTTTACTAGTTGTTACTGTTTCTCTAATTATTAAACTATTTAAATTTTGGAAAGGAATTAAAACGTCACAGAAATTTACTTCCACTGGGATAGTTGTCTTTAAATATTCGTTAGGAGCAAGAGTCACTCTTCTTGTTATGTCATAAGGGTCTCGTCATTAAAATTTTAAAATTAAAATTTTTTCCTATGACCCTATTACTGGGTAGATAAATAACCATGTTAAATTTTTTCATGTCATGATAGCCTATAAGTCCATCGAAATAATTATGAAAATCGTAAGATTCTAAATTTTGATTCGAATTAAATTCCGAAAATGCAGGTATATGAGCTTTTTGTTTAATAGTACATTTTCCTAACAATGTCTTTACTTTGGTTGAAAAATTAAAAATTTGGTTTGGACAGATTTTTTCTATTATATCAGGTCGTAACATAGAATAAGAAACACCTTGTATCAATTAAAAGTTTTAAAGGAGGATAAGGATGTTGTGAAATTTTGATGTATGGCAATTGGGCTGCTAACTGAATATTATTTTCTACAATGTTTGGTTGTCCTGAGGCTGGGTTAAACAAAAATTTTGATCGTTTTCTGAATTAAAAAAAATCTTGATCGTAATTTTGGTAGTAATCTTCGTCCTGGTTCACAAATCATTGAACTTGAATTGGAGTTGGATAATTTGTCTTATAATTTTGGTACGTTCCTGAAGCTTGTGGATTTCGATTATAATTTTAATTTAAATTTGTGTTACTGGGCGGTAAAGGAGGTCTTGAAAAATTTTGGTTCTGAAAATTAAATCTGAAATTTGGGTTTAATCTTGAATTTAAATTTGAATTATAATTTCGTTGAGGGGCCCTAAGTGAATTAGAAGTTGAGGGGATATGATACTTGTTTTTCTTAAGTTATTCTTTGTACTGATTAAATTGTACTTCTCTGTTTACAAAAAATATCGCGTCTTCCAGCGTATTTTTATCTGCTGTACGTATCATTGTCTGTAAGTTATCTGGTAAGTTGGCCACGTACGTGTCTAGCGCGAGCCTTGCATAAATGTCTTGATAAGCTTGTTTCCCTGCAGCTGATATATTTAAATGGACTAGTTTTTGTGATAATGTTGACCTAAGATTTTGTTAGCTAATTCCTGAAGGGATTCACTTTTTGGCTTATAACGCATGTGAATTAAATCTTGCTGTAGGCATGGAAGATCTCTACAATCTCCAAAATGTTGTTCTAATAAACATTTTATTTGCTCCCAAGTTTCAATTTCTAAACGTTGGTTTAAAATTATTTCGGCTTGTCCGGTAATTTTTTATCTAATGCCCGCAAGTAAATTTATCATACGATCGGGTCTTTCGGGGATATTAAAAATTCGAATTAAATCATCATATAATTTACAAAAGGTTTGGAGTTTAGTTTGTGATCCGTCAAATGTTGGTATCACATCTAGAAAAGCTTTAGCTTCATTAATATTGAATTAGTAGTCATATTTGAGTTGCTAGAAGTATTTGTGAATGAATTTGTCAACTGGTTAACTAAACTATCTATTTCGTTTTGATTTACGGAAAATCCAACACCGACAGGGCCCTGGTATGGATTTTCTACTCGTAATCTATGTTGAAAATTATTTTCCTTTGGCATCTGAACAATCGGCTCGTTTTCAGCCGGTTGACTCATGAACAGATCCGTCTAAACAGTCACTTGTTAAAGAACTTCAGTCGAGTTGATTCATGAATAGACTTTGTCTAAACAGTCACCCGTTAAAGAATTTCAGTCGAGTTGACTCATGAATTAGCTGAACAGTCACTCGGCAAAGGAAGCACTTTGCACAGAAAAAGAAAAAATTCTATTTTGTCTGAACACTCGCTTTGTTTTCAGACGAGTTGACTCATGAACAAAAGAAGCACTTGTGAAGTCAGAACAATAAAGTTATTAACTATAAAAATTTCCCTTTATTTAAAAATATTTAATATTCAATTTTATTCTTAACTAATTCCGATTATACACAGGCAAGTGTAAACCCAAATATCTTTTCGCCGCAAAAGTATATATAAAGCAGTATATATCAACTTAGCGAGGAAAGGAGTGGAAATTATAAAAGGAACTTACTTTTGACTGTCTGGCGTCGATTCCTGAGTTCTCAGCGTCAGGTTGACCAACCCCTTGCCGTTCTGTTCCAATAAATTTCGTCTGAGAGCTAAGTAGGTAGATTCTGGATTTCCAGTAAGGTACAGAAGTTCGCCAAGGATCCCAATCTTCATGTAGTAGACTTCAGGGACTTGTTTGGAAATCCTACCGACTGCGTCAATTAATTATCTCGTCGCCGGACAGGTGTTGAAATAATAAAGATCATTTGAAAAAATTATATATTAATCAACGAGAAGCAAGTTCACAATTACACGTTAAATTTCACACTGAATGGAATAAGCGAAGCAGTTCTCTTATATAATAAAAATAAAGCATTCTCAGCAAAAGATAAGGAAGTTAACTTTTGTATCTAGTTATTACAGCAGAGAAGTTAATGATTCTGAAAAATAAAATATGAACATAAAAATAATATATATAATTCGCTGAATAATATGAAATTTACAATATTAATTGTTCCTTCTCACCCGGATTGATAATAGTTCGTTTTTAATCAAAAGTAAGCTTGTGACAAGAAACAAATGGGGAATAATAAACGATTTCTCTTATTTTCAATTACATATAACTAAATTGAATTATTAAAATTCTTAAAACGTTCAAGGTTCTGGTTTACAATCGGTACGCCTGATAAGGCTTCACACTTTTTGTCTCTTTGTAGATTATTCTTTTTGTGAGAACAGCTGATTTCAAAATAAAATTAAATATAGAACAGTGTTTACATTTTCAACTTTGCAAGTTTTCACCGTCATATAACAACACTTATTGTTACTCAAATGACATTTTACTTTATTGGGTATATCCCAAAATATGACTACTAATCTATGCAAAAAAACGCTTAATTATTTCTTCAAAAGAATATGCAATCTAATTAATGATGCTCGTCAAATCAAATATCTAACTTCTCAATAAGATTGACAACGTAAACTGCCAATTTCTTTAGTAGTATTAATCTTTGAAACACACTCGGTGCGTTAGCAAGGTCAAAAGGCATTCGAGTGAATTCATATTGGCCCTGAGGTGTGACAAATGTATAGGGTCGTGATTCTTTTGCAATGGGGATTTGATAATATCCAAATCTAAGGTCTAAGCTGGTATAGTATTTACTACCATGCAGACGGTCCAGTTGGTCATCCATTCGCGGTAAAGGGTACCGATCTTTCACTGTGACGGAATTAAGTCTCCTATAGTCAATACATAGGCGACCTTCTCCGTTTTTCTTCTTTACACGTAGAACTGGGGATNGTAAAAAAATATTATCTTATATTCGGCCTTAAATAACCTGTTAAGCCAATAAATTGACGTATATTATGAACTGATTTCAGTACAGGGAAATCTCTTATAGCCTTCGTCTTTTCCATTCCTGGCGTGACTATGCCTTCAGAAATTTCAAATTCTAAGTATGTTACGGACTTAAATAAAAAATTACATTTCGACAAGTTTAGGGTCATTCCTTCCGCCCTTAGTAGTTTTAGGATTACTTCCAAGTTATCTATACCCTTCTGGACCGTATCAGTATGGATTAACACATCGTCCAAGTAAACTGCCAATTTCTTTAGTAGTATTAATCTTTGAAACACACTCGGTGCGTTAGCAAGGTCAAAAGGCATTCGAGTGAATTCATATTGGCCCTGAGGTGTGACAAATGTATAGGGTCGTGATTCTTTTGCAATGGGGATTTGATAATATCC